CTCGTCATTCAAACTATCACATATAGTAGCTCCCGTGATGATGACGGCAGGAGCAGTTATAGGTGTGGGACTGGTTGGATGGGGTATCTACCAAATGGTGAAACGATTCACTTCCTCAGCCTCCTTAGACCTAGTGAACTTTACTACACTCAGCGTCACAAAAATCGCACCTCTCTGAGTTTGCGCAAAAAATGGCTGTAATGGCCAGAAACGAATTATATTTATATAAATATTGGTATGTTTGAAATGGGTATTTGAATAGCTTTACATTATTAATAAAAAAATCATGAAATCATTAAAACATTTATCATTATAGAGTGTCAAAAATAAACACTGTCAAATGCTCGTTAGTAAGGACGCTAGTTACACCACCTAAAAAGGGTATAAAAGGGTCGATCTGGATGAAATATGGGTCAGTCGTAATTTAGACTTTGCAGTGAACACACGTGAACAAGTAACCCGAGTAAGAACAAGTAAAGATGGACACCAGCTCTGAAGAAGCCGCTCAAGTGATTGCCCTATTGCAGTCGGGGATGCGGCTTGAACCTGTCCCGTTTTTCAGTTCGACGGGTGTTCCAACGTTTTCAGCAGACTGGTGGTTATGTTAGAAAACCGGAATCTGGAAGAAAACGGTGCACAACAGAAAGAGATGACCGTTTCATCGTTACGACATCTTTACGAAACCGTTTTACAAATGCTGTTGAGTTGCAACAACAGCTTCGATCAACTCGGAGAACATCTGTGAGTGTTTCTACGATAAGAAGAAGGTTACACGAAAAGAGTTTAACAGCCCATAGACCTGCTAAAAGTCCAAAACTTACTGCACAGCATCGCAGAGATCGCCTAGAGTTTGCTCGCAATCATTGCGAGTGGACTCTAGAACAGTAGCGGACCGTACTCTTCTCTGATAAGACGAGGGTCTGTCTCTTCTGCAATGACAGACGTAGAAGGGTCTACAGAAGACAGGGGGAGAGGTTCACACAACCCTGCTTCGAAGAATCCGTCGAATACGGGGGTGGCTCGTGTATGTTTTGGGGCGGCATTTTCGTCGACGGGAAAACGGAACTTGTGTGCGTTTCCCGGACTCGGGGTGGCCGTGGGCAAGGGTTATTAAATGCTGTTCGGTACATTACTGAAATCCTGGAGGAACATGTGGTCCCGTATGGTGGTTATGTCGGTGATGGATTCATGTTAATGCATGATAATGCTCGTTGCCGCACCGCGGCTATTGTACGGGATTATTTACAGGAGGTCGAAATCCCTGTTATGCATTGGCCAGCACGAAGTCCAGACCTTAACCCAATAGAACATCTCTGGGATGACCTAAAACGGCGCGTGCGAGCTCGAGATCCAGCTCCAACCACTCTTCAAGAGCTCCAAGATGCGGTACTTGAAGAGTGGGAACAAATACCCCAAGAGGCTGTTGCGACCCTTGTAAGGTCCATGAAAGATCGCATGGAAGCCGTTATCAAGGCAAGGGGATGTAACACTAGGTTTTAAGAACTTTTTTTGTATTTATTAAGTTTTTTTTTTAAATTATTAATTTGCAAATTTGTACATCCCTGTCTTTTTCTTTAATTTCTCTTTCGTCTCGTTATAAAAGTAAAATTCAATTAAAATTCCTGATAGCTAATGAAATTACCTTTCCAATGATACCCTGAAACCACAACATTGCCATTGGCCTGTTGTGTTAAAATAGTATTTAAATTACTTTTTTCGGATGTGCGATTTTTTTGACGCCGAGTGTATTACCCCAAGCACCACAACACCACTTTCGCAGCCTACGCTAAACGCCATCGTCCCCAGCGCACACCTGTACCCCGAGCACGAACATTTTGTTCTATAGTACAGTTTACGAGACAGTTTAGTTTCAGTAAAATTTTGTATGGGAATTTGAACAGCGCTCCGTGAGCGTATTTGGAACTAAAATTTGGAAGCACGAACATCTAACGCTGCGTTATGCGTAGCTATCGTTTGGTTTAAGTAATCGTAAGACACAAAATGTGTGGATTTTGGCAGCACGAATCTATTTTTGACGTACGTTATCGTCTATCCACTATAGAGAACTACGAAATTGTTCTCACCGACATTTTTACAGCGAGAACGCTATCGAGAAGTCTTAGTTTTAAGTTTCTCTGGGTTTTTCTTCGATGTAAGTTAAAAATATTTTTATTAAGAATAAATAGGATGAGATCCACGACTTTTTATTATTTTGCGTGGCGTTTGGAAGTAGAGGAAAGAAGGCAAAGACGAGAATTAAGGTGCATAAATTGTACTATATTAAAGTATTACTAATTAATAAATTCTGTAAATACCCTTACCTTAATTATATAATTGATTAATAATAAATTTATTTTAATAGCAATAAATAATAATATTACTATAATAAATAATTTCAGTGGTATTACTCAACGGGTTTTTCATCACCGAACTGAAGAACCTATGAATATTTCTGAAAGATACGATTAAGTAAAATGCATTTAAATTCCCTTGCCTTGAACTTCGCTTTAAAATAAACTTGACAGGGAAACTTATTATATATAAATTCTAAAATAAAAGAATAAGCTTAGGGCTTAAGGTATAAAAAAAATAATAGAATAGAATAGAATAGAATATTTTTTATTCAATATACATTACATGTGTAATTCTTATTGAAAGTCATTTTTTACTTTACCACTGGTTCGAAAAAACCCTCTGTCCTGGGAAGAACCAGCAAGAAACCCAGCGGGACTTTTTTTTTAAAATAAATTTTACAATATAAATGATTACGAACTATTTACAAAATTTATTTTAGAAACTGCTTGGAAGCGATCACCTCATTCCCAGGGGTTATTATCAACCATGTATTCATTTATACTATAATAACCCTTTTTATACAGTTTCAGCTTAATAAAACATTTAAACTTGGTAATAGAGAGAACCTGTACACTTTCCGGGACCTTGTTGTAATAGCGTATACATTGCCCCAAGAATGAATTACTGACTCTGTGGAGTCGAGAAACTGGTATCACTAGCTTGTGTTTGTTCCTAGTGTTTACAGAATGTATATCACTTCTTTTACTAAAACTATCTTTGTTTTTGTGAACATACATTAAATTTTCGTAAATATACTGAGAGGCCAAAGTTAATATATTAATTTCTTTAAATTTATCTCTAAGAGACTCTCTCGGTTTTAGATTGTAAATAGCTCTAATGGCCCTCTTCTGTAAAACAAAAATAGTTTCTGAATCAGCCGCATTTCCCCATAGCAAAATCCCATAAGACATTATGCTATGAAAATAACTAAAATAAACTAATCTAGCTGTCTCGACACTAGTGAGACCTCTAATCTTTTTTACAGCATAGGCTGCAGAACTTAGTCTGCTTGCTAATTTGGATATATGGGGGCCCCACTGGAGCTTTGCGTCAAGAGTGATGCCAAGAAAAACAGTGGATGCAACAGGGCTCAATTCCTCCCCATTTAAAAACACATTGGTATTCAGATTTTGAACATTCGTTGTTGTAAATTTAACACAATTAGTTTTATTTCCGTTCAAATGCAGATTATTAACGTTAAACCAATGCACTAATTTTGATATAGCATTATTCACTTCGTCACATTTAAATGATTGACGTTTAAGTTTAAAAATCAAGGAAGTATCATCAGCAAATAATACTATATCATGACTATCCCCTACAAGGTGAGGTAAGTCATTAATATACACCAGAAACAGGAATGGGCCGAGAATCGAGCCCTGAGGTACACCCATTAGTACAGGTGACCCGGAAGAACTTTTACCATTGATAATAACCTTCTGTTTTCTATTACTTAAATATGAAATAATAAGTTTAAGCGCTGTGTTCTTGACACCATAGTACTGTAGCTTCCTGATTAATGTCTCATGGTGAACACAGTCGAAGGCCTTGGAAATATCACAAAATATACCCAAAGCATCCTCTGATTTCTCCCATGCACAAAAAATATGTTTAATAAGCTCAACTCCAGCGTCAGTTGTCGAGCGACCCCTTGTAAAACCGAATTGATTTTTATGTAGCAATTTATTAATATTAAAGAAACTTAACATCTGATCTAAAATAATTTTTTCAAAAATTTTACTTAATGTTGGTAGTACAGAAATTGGTCTAAAATTGGCGGGGTCTAATGTACTACCAGATTTAAATATAGGTATGACTTTACTATGTTTCATTAAATCAGGAAACACACCAGATTCGACGCTTATATTAAATATAGTGGCTAGATAAGGTGCTAATGTATCTATTATAGATAAAATAACTTTAACGGAAATCCCCCATAAGTCTGCCGTTTTCTTAACATCAATAGTTTTAAAATATTTAACGATATCTTTTGGCAGTACCCTATGGAATTTAAAAGTATTTGAACAAGCCTTTACATTTTGTTTGAGCAATGATTCGGCGACAGTAGGAGAAGAATTTAATGATTTTGTTGTCAAAAAAGGAACATCAGTAAAATGTTTCTCAAAAGCCATAGCAACTTCTTGATCAGATCGCGTTAAATTATTGTTAATATTCAATTGAAAATCCGAGTTGCGCGGTTTGACCTTGCCCGTTTCACTATTTATTATTTTCCAGGTCATTTTAATTTTGTCGGATGCAGTTTTAATTTTGTTGCTTAAATGTAAAGCCTTAGCAGTGGAGCACACTTTTTTAAATATTTTAGAATATGTTTTTACATAATCTCTAAATATAACACTACTATTATATGAACTTTCATCATAAAGCTCGTATAACCTTCGCCTACTTTTATAAATTCCTACTGTCGCCCATTCATTAAATGATTTGCGACTGTTAAAAGAGAAAGTTTTAGAAGTAAATATTCTACTAAATTCACAACGTATAATTTCAAATAATGTAGCATACAAATAATTAGCACTATTTTTAAACGAAAGTGATGGAAGTCTTTTTATTATATTACTTCTAAACCTCTCCAAGCGATGTTCATTTATTGGAACAAACACAACTTTCTTATTTTTCTGTTTTTTGTGTATGTAAGGTAGTGATACTAACTGCCCACAGTGATCTGAACTTAAATTTTGAATAAGTGATTTATGCAAGGGCTTAACATCTGTAAAAATGTTATCTATACAGGTCGCACTAGGCCCAGCAATACGTGTTGGTTCTAAGAATAAATTTACAAGATTATACGATTTAAACAATGAGCTAAACTTAATACTAATGGAAGAAGTTTCAAGGAGATTGATATTAAAGTCTCCACACATTACAACAGACTTGTTCTGTTTACTAAGTTTGAGTAAAACTTCTTCCACAATCCTTTCAAAATGGTCATAAGTAGCACATGGGGGTCTGTAAACACTTACAACAATGAGGTGCTCGAGCTCGACACAAGCCATTTCTACAGTTCGTTCAACAGAGAGGCTCACAATATCCTTACGTTCTTTATATAATAATGATTTATCTGCTAATATTAAGGAGCCACCACGTAAACTTTTTTCTCTATTGAAGGAACTGACCACCTGGTGATTTCTGAAATTAAATATGAAATTATAATCTTTTAGCCAATGTTCAGTAATACAAAGGATGTGTATATTGTTACTATTTAAAAACAATTCAACTTCCAATTCTTTGCCCAACATGCCTTGTATATTTTGATGCACCAGGTGTAAACAATTTTTATTACTTATTTGTGGGCTGTATTCAAAATTAATTAAACTCTTATTATTGCTAGAGATTGCCTCTATTGTCACATTCACTAATTTAAATTAGTTGGAACTGATTCCAAATTAAATGTCAAATGATTATGCTCAATAAAAGCAGTCTTGGTAGCCAAAAACTTGGCTGAGTTAAAAAGTAAATAATAAGATAGCACATTTGCTATCAGTCTTAAATTATATTTGGATAGGTAATACCTATCTTTTGTCCAAAACTTTTTTATTAAATTATTTATGTCAATTACATGAAATTTATGATTATTATCATTAGAATTATATGTCAAATTTAAATTATTATTACATATTAAATTATGCATTTGTATATTTAAATTATGTCTTAAATTATTTTCTTGTGGCAATCCCTGTATATAAGGCAGTGTGAACAAGACAATTTTGTGTACATTTAAGTTATTAAGTTGTTCAATATATCTTAATAACTGTTTGTTGTTGACACTGCCTCTTCTACCAACAAAAATTATTATTGTACTATTTGGGCAAAATTTAGTAACAATAATTTTATTTAGGATGTCACTAAAAGATGCTCCAGGCATGCAGCAATTTGTAACTTTTTGTCCCTTTAAAGAGTTATTTAAAGTTATGCCTAGATTTTTTCCCATGTCATCGCTATAAACAATTATATTATTTTTAGTAATATTTGAGTTATTTATTATTTTAATATCCTCTGCTATGGCACTGTCATAGAGTTTTTGTGGTGGTATAATATTATCAGCACACACTGACTTTGAAGAATCTGGCATTGAGCGCTGACACTCACATTGATATTTAACTAAGGAGTCAAACCGCTCCTCATTATATTTACAAGTCTTTACCAGATTATCCATAGCCAATATGTGTTCTTTTATTTCATTTTGGGCTGATTTATATTTATTGGACACAGTTTGAAGGGAGTTCATAAGTGACAATATTTCTGATTTAAGGCACTCTACTTCAGTCTCATAACATTTTTTTATGTTATCCACCTCAATCGAATACAACTTAAGTTCATATAACAATGCTTGTAATGCTCAGAATTAATTTACCTGCTGTAGTTATTATGCACCTAACCTCATATTTTTTTCATTTATGTTTTAGGTTCTTTGTGCGTTATTATTTTACTCAACAGGCTCTTAACAACGTTTAGTCGGTACGAGAAAGAATTTGGGCCAAACAAGTGTTAGCAAATGTGTCTCAAGTTACGGAGGCACTTAACAGCCAATAAATAATAACCAATAACTTTATCAGGTTCCCCACTTCAAGGGCTGAGAGAGACGTCATAAAAGTACTTACTTACAATATTTTATTTTTAGCTTTGTTAATGAATGAAAAATAGGTGGAGTAAACAGGGATCGCATACTGCATTACAAACCCGAAAAATACGCCAAAATTATTATAGTTATAGTTCATTGTGTCCTACATAATATAGCTATGCTATTTGGAGTATCAGACCCAGAAGCAGATGTGTACGGTAATAATTTAAATGATCACATGAGCAACCTGATTTATGCATTATAAGAAGTAACAGTAGTCAGGGTTAGTAAGAGGTCGTGCTATGAGAGGAATTGTTGTAGGGATAGACTTAGTGCAGTGTAATTCTTCTGTATGTAATTTGTGTTTATGCCCAGATTATTTTTTATATTAATAATAATCTAACAATGATTTATTTATTACTTTATTCATAATTTAAATTAAATATTTCAAAAATTTCGACCACTGCCAAGATCAAAAAATATTAAACAAATATAAATAAAAAGGATTATGTTAATATGTATTAAGGAATTTATGAATGGCAAATAACCCCTGGGAATGAGGTAGTTATTTCTAATACCACTTATAGTTAATTGTGTAACATAATATATGACTGTAAACAATTATTTTTTCCTGGACACAGGTATTTTCCGAACCAGTGGTAGATTAAACATAAGAATGATCTTAAATAAGTACTATTTATAATGTATACTGGACAAGAAAAAATCCATTTCTATTTCTATTGAATCCAATTTTTGTAATTAAATTGATTCTCTATTGTGTTGTAGGCATATCTACACAGTTTGAATAATGTTTTGATTTGTTTTTGTTATTACGACTTTAGATTTTAAGTGTAGTCTATTTTTTCCGATATTAATATTAAGTTCAAATAAAAAAGTACAAGTACAAAATTTCAATGAGACATTTTATTAAAAACATGCACAATTATTATTATTTATACATTATTACACTGAACTTGCACTTCAGCTCAGTATCATGTTGACAAAGTTCTCTGTAGTATCCTCTCTCGTTCTAATTATACAAATCCCTAACTTTCCTTATTATCATTCCTTATATTCTCCTTACTCAAAAAAATATTCTGTTGTCTGTGTAGGACAATTAGAGATATCGGCGGTGTGGTAGATTTTGGAGGTGTTTGGGATCTGGTTATGGTTAGGAATCTGGGATTGGATGGAGCTATAAGTACTGAATCCTTGCTGCCGCCAGGAGTGTTCCAGTCCTCATCATCTGAAAAGATCAATTGAAAAACTTGAACTTTCTACATTACTTTCACAGATATTTCCTTTTTATATTGTTGAAAATATTTGAAAGTTAAAAGATGTAATGACTAATTTGAATTATAAGTACTTTATTATTATGATTTCTTTAATTTATAAAATAAACAGGACTCATGATTACACACTAGTATCACTTACATCATGAAATTATTACTATTACATATTTTATTGTTACATATTTTTTTATATTTAATAATTGCAATAGTTAATATACACAAGAGTAGTTGAAGACGTACCTACAGCGGGAATTTCAGATGGTACAATTATTAAATTTTCTGTTTTTGGCTTTGCGAGTATAGAATACTGTTTTATTAATTCCGGCAGATTATTCTACCTGTAAAATAATAAGATATTAGTCTTATTCTAAAGTTATTATTCATATACATTAATATCTTCTGAATGATATATTTTCACGGAGAAAGTACGAGTATGTGTTAATAATTAATATTAAGATGTTAAAATTAAAGTTTTTACAGTGATTCTTACTAAAGTTCTATCTATGTTAAAGCACCCTGTTCTCTAAGTATGTGAGACATATTTTTTCATATTAATTTAATTGTCTATAAGGTTTTGCCCACTATCTTTTTAAACCACTCCACATCTTAAGCAAACCAAATAAAACGATAATGAACCCAAAATTCTCACTAAAGCGTTCTTGATTGATATTGAATATTTTAGAAAAATAAGACTAGCACTTACTTTTCGCCACTTTTCTTCTTTGCGATTCCTTGGCTGTTATGAAATCACATAGCTCCTTGCACTTTATAATACATCACTGTCGTCATTCTGTGGTTTCGATAAATCACCGTTCTTTGGAAACAAACAATATTAATTATTTAACAGAATAAATCACTATCAATATACAATAAACAGATAGACTAAAATACAATCAAAACTGTTGTTTCAATATAGTTACTTACTTTTCCATTAACTCTACCATTATTGTAAAGAGTGTGTGGCTAGTTCTTGACGACATCATTATAACATTTAGCAGGAATTAACCAAAACAAATTCAAAACACAAAACTACTAAAACAACACGAAGCGGAGCGAAGTCAAGTGTTTATCTTAAGAAATCCGCGTTCGGAAATCACAATTCATAAAAGGTGAAACATAGTTTTATAAATATAAAAAAAGTTTCTCCATATATAATTATATAAATAGTGTTTTGTCAAATAACTGTTTTACATTAATTAACACACTATTATTAATAAGTTTCATCACGTTTTCTTATTTTTACGCACAATAAAAGACTCTACAAATACAATGATAGCAATTTATAAACGTATCATTCATTTTCATTCGTTCGTTTTAATATTGAGTTCTAAGCTTTGTTTACATTTAGTTACAATATAGTATCGAGTACACTTGAATAAAAGATAAGCGTTCGTGCTGCTGACGACTTTAGTCACAGTTTGGTAAAAGTTTTCGCTTAGTTTACTCTATACGAATTCTTGACGCAATTGTTTATTATTCGTGCTCGAGGTACTGAATACGAACCAAATGCTGTTGCATCTTGCTACAAGCACATCAAAAAGTTTAGATGCCATGTCACTCACACCTTACACAAGAAGTGAGTACGTTGACTCAATCGATGACTCAACTACTAGACAACTAGTACGATGCGATACTTACGATAATCTTAACCTTCGTCCTCGGAAACAAAAATCCAGACAAATGTATGTAAAACTGCCCTTATGAAAAAAAGTGTTGTTGAAAGGCCCCTAAATTGTATAATAAATTACCTGATCACATAAAATGTTATAATGCGCAAAAATTTAAACGTATCCTAAGTAATTTTCTTATAATTAATGTTATTATAATGTCAATGAATTCCTATTTACTAATGATTTAAATAATATGTAATTTAATAATTTTGTGTCTTTTGACTTTGTTTACTTAATTTAACTGTTATTTTGATTTTTTTTTCATTTATGTTTAATTTAATAATGTGTGAATATACATATACATTCGAATGCTGTAAAAGCATTTCTCTCACTCCGACTCCGCGTCAACGTCGTCAATATCTGCCTCTCGGAAGAGGTCCGCCGCAGTTTCCAGCACCAGGACATCGGAATCCGACTCCGATGACACCAGTGCTTCTTCGAACGAATCGTCTTACACCACGGTGTCGTCAAAGCGCGCCGCGAAAAACCGTTCGCCCCCCGCCGTAGCGGCCCGTGCCGCTCCCCCCACCCCCGCAGCCCCCGCCGCTGCCGCGTCTACCTCTGCAGCCCCCGCCGCTGCCCCGACCCCGTTAGATAAAACAACGTCGAAGCCGGCTTCACGTTGCGCTCCGCAACTCGCGAAAAAACCAGTCCCGCCCCCTGTCTTTTTGAGAGACAAGGCGGAGTTCACCAGACTTAGCAAGATCTGCTACGACTCTGGAATTAAATACGACCTAGCTACGAACATGGGCGTAGCGATAAAAATAGTTCCGCAATCGATTGACGATTTTCGCCGCCTCACTAGGCTTTTTACAACTGAACGCGTATCGTACCACACATACGCTCTTCCGGAAGAGCGTAAAGTCAAGGCCGTCATCCGAGGCGTCCCGTTCGAACTCTCCAACGAGGAGATTCTTGATGACCTTAAGTCACAAGGATTCCCCGTTGAAGCTGTTCATAAAATGCACAGTAGGACCGGGTTGAGATACCCGATAGTCTTAGCTATCCTAACTAACGTTCCGGAGGCGAAAACCATCTTCCGGCAAGTACGCACGGTGTGCGGCTTGTCGGGAGTTAGGGTTGAGTCACCGCATAGGCGCGGTTTCCCGGCGCAGTGCCACCGCTGCCAACTATATGGCCACGCGGCGGCCAATTGCTCCGCCCCACCCAGGTGCGTTAAGTGCCTAGATCCACACATCACCAAAGAGTGCCCCCGGCCTAAAGATGCCGTATCCCCGCCCGCGTGCGTCCTGTGTCAACAGACAGGCCACCCGGCAAGCTACAGAGGATGCCCGTGCGCTCCTCGTCCTCGTATAATTAAACAGGTCCCACCGCCGGTAAATGACCGTTCATTCCCGGCGTTATATGTTAGGAGGCCCCGTCAGGGCGTATCTCAGCCGTCTCAGGGCGTTGCAAGACCCCCTCAGGGTCCCCCGAGACCACCAAAAGTACCTATTAGGCCACCTCCGGGCTTCTCAAAGCCTACGCAGGCTCCAGTTTTTCCCTGGGGCCCCAAAAAGGTTGAAACACCGCAGGCAACCTCTGCTCCGCAGCAGAAACAGCCTACAATCGCCGATGACCTTAACAAGGTTTACGCCGCGATAAGGAACATCGACGTTAACGAAATTGCTATATTAGCAAACAAGTTGCGCGCCGCTCGGTCCCCCCAGGACCGTCTTCTGGCTCTCGTAGAGCACAGTAACCTATTGCGTTCGTTGTAAGTTAAGTTAACTTAATTAACTTAGCTTACAATGACAGAGCCTTCTGCTCTGCCTAAAAGTCACGGTCGTATCAAGCCCAAAGGGCTATCGCTTATTTCATTTAACATTCGCGGATTGCGAAATAACCTCCCAGAGCTTAAGCTCTTCCTTAAAGATCGCGAAGCTGATTTTCTCCTCTTACAGGAAACCAACCTTAAAAACAAAGACACTAAAGGCTTATCCATTAAAAATTATTCTCTTCTTCGTAATGATAGGCACGACCGCCGAGGCGGTGGCACGGCCATTTATTACAAGAAGACACTACATTGCTCTCTTATTGATACTCCGCAGCTTACCAATATGGAAGCTACGTTATGCAGGTTATCTATCTTTAGTCATAGCCTCCTATTACATTCCCCCTAAAAACCTCCCCCTCAAAGATGATTTTGAGGCAATCTTATCTCTTAGTAATTCAGTCATTATGTTTGGAGATTTTAACTCTAAACATACTGAATGGACATGCCGTACGATTAACCGTAGTGGTAGGATACTGCGTGATATAACGCAGTCTCTTGACATAACCGTTTTCAGCCCGCTCGGTGCAACGCACTATCCCGATGCTACCGATTTAAACCCAGATGTACTAGATTTTGCGTTACTCAAAGGAGTTTCACTCAACCTCAGGTCTATTGAGACACTAGACGATATAGGATCCGATCACCGACCGGTCTCCCTTATTCTTGGCCATCAGCCACCCCCTATTATAACTACGAAAACCTTCACTAACTGGAAGGGTTTCAAGGACTCACTAGCAAAAGCTATGGACTCGCAGGACTCCCCTAATTACCTATCGTCGGATTTAGACTTAGACAGTCCCGTAAAAATCGACACCGCGGTCGAATCACTTTCAACCCTAATTAAATCCATCCCTTAGGAGGAGAATGAAAGGGTCGTCCCGGCTGCTAATACTAATAGGCTTCCCCTATATATTAGCAACATATTAAAAGCTAAAAAAGCTGCTTTCCGGAGAGCAGCTAAATATCCCACCCCCGAATATAGGCATACGGCTAATCGTCTTTAACGAAAACTCCGTTTACACCTTTCTGAATTTCGAGACCTCCAAAGGAGTGAACTCATGGAGAATATATCTCCTTCTCATACAGCGTACTATCAGATGGCTAGAGCCTTCCGTATAGACGCTACAGCTCACACTCCCCCTCTCTCCCGCCCCAACGGTACGGTTGCCTTCGAGGACGACGAAAAGGCTGAGTGCTTTGCAGACAGCATTGCCGCACAATGCTCTCCTAGCTCTCAACCTGTCGACCCCTCACACATTCAGGAAGTGGAAGATGAGGTCCGCCGCCGGAACTCACCCCCCACATCCTCTAACCCTATCACTGTGTCCAATGATGAGATCTCATCCATCATCAAAGGACTTAAGCCCAAAAAGTCTCCGGGCGCGGATGGCATATCCAACCAAGCCCTTAAAAACTTTCCAGAGCAGGTGTTAACCCTCTTATCTATTATCTTTAACGCCTGCTTCAATCTTAGTTATTTTCCCACTACTTGGAAAGAGGCAATTGTCATTGGTATTCCCAAGCCAGGCAAGCCTCTTAACCTCCCCTCCAGTCATCGTCCCATTAGCCTCCTAAAGGCCATGGGCAAACTCTTTGAAAGAGTCATTCAAAATCGAATGAGGCGCCATCTGTTTCCCACAGACGGTGACCCCCTTGTCATCCCACACCAATTTGGTTTCCGTGCGAAACACTCGTGTCCACAAAAAAGTACACCGCATTGTGGAATATGTCCTCAGCGGTTTTTATCCACGTCGACTAAAGACAATCGCGGTCTTTTTCGACATTGCCAAAGCCTTCGACCGCGTCTGGCACGAAGGCCTTATTTTCAAATCCTATATATAGGATAGGACTCTCCGATCGTCTAGTACGTCTCATAGCCTCTTACCTACAACATCGTAACTTTCGATTTAGACACGAAGGCACGTTATCCTCTCAGCGCCCCATTAAAGCTGGTGTTCCTCAGGGATCAGTACTAGCTCCCCTCCTGTACATCTTGTACACCAACGACATTCCAATCCCGTCGAATGGTGTACAGCTCTCACTCTTCGCAGATGACACTGCTCTTTACTTCAAAAGTCCTAGAATATCTTCAGCAAGGAACAAGATCCAAAAGTCAGTCGATGACCTAGGAGATTGGTTCCAAAAATGGCGTATCGATGTGAACCCGGAGAAGAGCTCCGCAGTTCAATTCGATATTAAAAGACGCCGTAATAAAAACAAGAAAAATACTCCACCTATACAAATGCTAGGGACCCCTGTCCCATGGCATATGTCAGCAAAATATTTAGGCGTCACCCTTGACTACAGGCTTACTTTTGAGTCTCATGTCAAAAGAGTAACACGTCTAGCTCGTTTATACCTAGGTAGGCTTAACAGTATGTTAGGCCGACATAGTAAAATGTCATTAAGAAATAAGCGAACCCTTTATAAGGTTTGTATACGTCCCGTAATGACTTACGCGGCCCCTGTATTCGCACACGCCGATAATAAAATTATTAACGAACTACAAGTAGTTCAAAACTTATTCTGTCGTCGAGCTACGAACGCACCTTGGTACGTCCGTAATGCCGATCTTCACCGGGATTTAGAAATCCCAACAATTCAGCAATTTACTAAAACTCTGTCTGAAAACTTTTTTAAAGTTTCAGAGTCGCACAATAACACATTAATTCGTGAGGCAGTAACTTATACCGCCCCACTCCCCTCCCGCTATACCGTCCGCAGGCCGAGAAACACTCTCTCGGACCAGCCAAATAAACTTTCAAGCGACCTGAACTGCCTTCTGGCGGCTCAGGCCAATACTAATTAAATTAAAAATTATTTAAAATCAATATGCCTTCGTAGGCAGTCCCTAAACGGCACTTAGCCGTCTGCGCCCTCTTTTCCCAAAAGAGGGTCGCTTTAGATACAGCATATGAAGCTTTCAACAGGCAGTTTTTAGGGGGTATCACTTAGGTTCCCCTTGTAGGTAGTGAGTCCCCCATAACCACGATGGACCGGCCATCGTGGTATGCGTAATGCATTTTCTGCCTCCCTCCGGGGTAGCCCTTTTCCAATTGCTTCGGGCGCAAAAAAAAAATGAAATATGGGTCAGTCGTAATTTAGACTTTGCAGTGAACACACGTGAACAAGTAACCCGAGTAAGAACAAGTAAAGA